TACGAATAGATGACCTATACGCAAATTTGTCGAGCGGACAAAAGTTCTCGAAACTTATAGCGCGTAGATCGTGCGCTATAAACTCGGTACGCGACTAAACGGCCAACCAAAAGCGGTGGGTAGTAAACTAGGACGGGAGGACGGGAGGAGCGTTAGCTAATGCTAAAAATAGGGCACCCGGAGAGAGCTAGCTAGGGAGAATGTCGTTGGCGTCGAGAGCGTAGACGGAGCGTCGTTCGCAGTCGAGCCGCGCGCCAAAGGCGGAGATCGTTTTCGTGTTTCCAACAAACGGGAACAACGTTCCAACAGGCAAACCGAATGGTTCCCTAATACATAAGAAAGCTATAAATTGAATATTAGAATAGTTTACACAGTCATACGGGGGAATCTCCAGGTCACTACAAACTTGATCTAAGCAATGATTATTCTCAAGTGGAGCACCAAAAATCCTCAAAGGAAATTGGTTGTCGGCATCCGGTTTCGGATTTGCATGTCACTGTGGCAAGCCACAGTAGACCTGCGCCTACAGAGGAACCATGGGTGGCTTGCGCTGCACCACCCACACACCCTACATCCAGTGCAAACCCGAAGGAATAAGACCGGGAGGTATGCGGATGGGAGCCACGTTTCATCAACGGAGCCGGCCCACACTCTTTCACAGGCAAACACAAGCACGCTGTATTTGGGAACCAAACGCACACAAGGCGGTGGCTGGACAGTAGTCCGCTCCACACTGGGTGCGTGGAACCACTCTTCGAGCCTAGCACGATCACAAGGACCGTGCATCCCGTCACATCCAGCAACGAACAACTGTCTCCTGGAGCCAGATGGACGAGGTGGTGGGTAAAAGACAGGTAAGCACTTTGTCAACATGTACATTGAGCGCAGCAACAGTGGGGATATCAATCAACAGCCAATAAAATAAATCGAACAATGCGTGCAGATATGCTTACATAATTCTTCAATAAATGAGCATATGAAATAGATTGGTTGTCAACCAATCCGCGATAGGCTCAAGACGTCAGAAAATATTTTAAGAAAATGCCACAAACGTGAAAATGTTATCGAAGTTAACTACATTGAGGTTAAGCGACGAGTGCAAGTTTATAGAAAATAGTTCAGGAGGATAGTAATATCAGAAAAAATCATTAGGACAATATAGCAAACCCACCACCTGAAATAAGGAGACAGCATGCAAGCACGCAGTAATAAATCGAATGCAGCGTACCTAGCAACGCTGCGCCGGTTCTGCCTACGTTCTCTGCAGCACCCGTCGTCGTTTCAATACTGGACCGGAGTGGCATCGCTCATGGCTCACTAGGCCTGTCTGACTCAGGCACTTGCGACCGCATGTGCTACAGCATCATGCGTTCCCTGTCGATGGAGTACAACTCATCTGCGACTATGGCTTCCGCAACTGCCGCATCTTTTCCGCATGAAGGGGGGCCCTCCCGCACCTCGGTAAGTGCCTTCGTGATCAGATCACGCCACGCACACCGATCAACCGTCTTCCATTCCCATGACCTGCAATCAAGATTAGAAAGCGAGATGCTCACTTTGATCATGTCCTGGTAACGTAACTTTGGTTTCCCCACATGACGCTTCCCAAACTCAACTAACCATATAAAAGCTGTTCCGGTATCCGCGTCGAATCCATACTGCTCACATGACCGAGCCACCTAAGGTGTCTCAGCAAAAGTATGCAGTCCACTGCATACATTCCACTTCGGCGCAAGACTTCCGTGTTAGCAACTCTGTCGCACCAACCGATGCGCAGAATCCATCGCAAACACTGCTGATGGAACCGCTCGAGGTATCGCACATCGTGCCGGTACATCGCCCACGTTTCGCCGCCGTATAGAAGAACGCACAACACCATGGATTTGTACACCATCAGCTTCGTGCCAACGGTAAGCCGATGGTTGTTCCACACTCGGTACTCAAGCTTCCCGAATGCCGCTGCTGCAATCGAGACGCGGATACGAATCGCACTGTGTAGCTGCTGATCAGTCGACCCCACACTCCCAAGGTAGCAGAAGCGGGAAATGGTTTCCAATACTTCAGCACCAATGCTGTTTCATGGCACCATTGTAGATTGCACCTCCGGTGAAAGAAACAGACAGTTTTGCTAGTGTTGATGATGAGCCCGAAATTGGCCGCTGTCGAAGCCAGAGCACTAGTCATGTGCTGCAACTCATCTGCGCTATATGTGAACAATGTAGTCGTCAGCGAACTGCAGCACACGGACATTTGTCTCACAGACTAGGGTTCTCGCACCGAAACGACGGATATTCAGCAACTCACCATCAATACGGTGCTACACACGAACACAGTAAGCACAAGCCGCATCAAACACACAACACATCATGGCATGTAGATAAATATAGTAAACAGAGCAGGAGCTGAGATACAGCTTGCTTCACACCAGAGACAACTGCAAAGTCATCCGAGGTCTGTCTATTCAGCTGCACCTTCACCCGCATGCCCCTGTGCAGACATCCAATTAAATTTACAAAGTTACCCGGAAAACCAAACGTACCCAACATCAGCCACAATGTCTCGCGGTTCACCGCATCAAATGCCTTGGTGAAATCAACAAAAAGCGAACGGTGTCGTTCTCTACATTTTTCCTGCAACTGAGGAGCTGCAAACATCATGTCGATAGTGTTGCGACCCGAACGGAATCCACATTGCTGTTGTGCCACGCTCAGTTCCACAACCTGACTGATGAAGCGGTTAAGCAGGATTCGGGCAATCAACTTGCCCACACAACTCAGCAACTTGATACCACGATAATTCGTGCAACATTGCTTGCTCCCTTTGCCCTTGTACAGTGGTAGCACAAGAGCATCCTTCAGCTCAAGAGGCACCTCTTCCTCAATCTACATGTGTTGCACTAAGTGGCGCAACGCAGTCACCAACGCGGGTCCGCTGTGTTTCAATACTTCAGGCAGGATCCCCTCGGCACCGGGACATTTGCCGTTTCGCAGCTGAGCAGGTGCTCTCTGCGTTTCATCCAGTGTCGACGTATCCGACAGATTCGCCTTCCCATCATGCTGCTTGAGGCCATTCACTGTGGGTCAGTCGATCTCTGAACGGTTTTACAAGAGACAGTCAGAGTGCTTTTGCCAGATCTGCATTATGTCTGCAGTTTGTGTACAGGCATCGCCTGCACTACCATCGATTAGCGTCCTCAACGGCTCTAACCTCGGTTCATACACCGCCTTCAAGGAATCAAAAAATTTCTTATATTTGCGGCGTTCGGTGTAGCATTCCATCTGCTTCGCTTTCTCCGTCCACCATGCATGTTTAATGAGACAGAGAGCTCTCGGGTCAATCATCGCTGGATTCTCCCGAACTTTCTCTTCTTCCCCAAGTCACTGGGGTCTGCCACAGGTGCAGTAAATGCTGCATTCTTCTCCGACACTAATGCGCCAATCGTCGACAATCACACCGCTTACTGTTTGCGCTCCCGATGGTCTCCTCGGCAGCAGCTGTCACCTGGTCGCGAATATGGTGTCACAAATAACCCATTGTAGCAATGCAGTCCACATCACACAGGCATGCAGCCATCGCCTTCTCCAGGTCAATATGTTTCGACACAGTACCGAGGGATAGAATGTTAAAGTTACGCCGATTCAAGGCGGCAATGCAATACATCGATTTACGAAAATATATGTGCAGTTTGGTTCGCATTAATTTGTGATCAGTACCACACTCAGCTCCACGCAGTACACGTGTCATGCGCATTTCACGCATATCACGCTGACGTACGATGACATAGTCGAGCAGGTGAACGTGACCACTCCGTGGGTGCGTCCAAGTTGCTATATCACTCGCACTCAGTGCAAACCGAGTGTTCATGATCGTCATGCCGTGAGTGGCACACAGTGAGAGCAGCCTGTCACCGTTCGCATTCGCTGAACCAATGCCATGCGAACCGATGACGTTTGTCCACACCGATGTTTCACGCCCAACGCGCGTGTTGAAATCACCCATCAGTAAGAGTCGGTCGCTCCTCGGCACAGACCGTTTCACGAAGGATAGCTGAGTGTAGAACTGATCACGTATGTTATCAGGATAACACATGGCCGGACCGTACGTGTTTATAAAAGTGGCAAAGTTACTTCTTCCGAGTCGTAGGCGAACAGTCATCAGTCGCGCGCTGATGCCTGTTGGTTCACCCACCAGCTGGCCATGGAGGCGACCGGATATTGCAAATCCGACCCCATGTTCACGTGGTGCTGAGGTGGCGTTGCCCACCCAGTAGAACGTGTAGCCAGCATCTGCTTCATGCAACTTACCTTGTTCAGCGAGCCGGGTGTCAAGGAAGGCCGCAATATCGATGTTGTACCGCGCCAATTTAATCGTGACCAGTGCAGTGCGTCGCTCAGGACGCTCACACAAGTTCCGGTCTAGTAGTGTGCGCACGTTCCAGCACCCGATTCTAAGCGCTTTACGCGCAGGAAATTACAACCATCAATACACACATGGGATTATTGTGCAATAACCGACTGCCATTCAGGATACACTGCGCGCCGGCGATCTTTCAGAGGATTATTGGCAAGTCAGTGAAAGGCATATCCGGAGTTTGCGCTTACTCGGACATATTGGTTACTGGTCGTACCGACTACGATCACATGACAGCACTTGCAACGCTTCCAGGAAAGCGGACTGAAACTCAAGGAATCGAAATGCCATCTTTTGCGATACCGTTGAGTATCTGGGATTTCGTTTGGGCAAACACGGGTTACATCCTCTAAGGGAAAAAATCCAGCTCATTCTGGATTCCGCAACACCCCGAAATATTAACGAACTGCCATCATTTCTTGGGATGGCAAACCATTTCAGTCGTTTCTTACCCAATTTGGCTGGTCTTCTCGCACCAGTGTTTATTTTGCTTCGTAACAATACCAGGTGGTCGTGGTCCCATGAACAACAAAAAGCTTACGATGCTATCAGTAACGCTAACTTTATAGGACTAGTCTATACTAGTCCGAGAGTGTTCTCGCGCTGGTAGGGATGCCAGAAAACCAGAAAGACGGACACAACGGATTGTATTCGCGGAAGGCTACAATCGAACGAAAACGAATGAAGCGACGAGAGCGTACGTCAGTGCCGGAACTCACCGTGGAGAAAAGTGGTGAGCCGGATGCAGTTCATAATGGCCGTAGAGTCGGCATTAAAACAAAAAGCAATATTTTATGACTGAGTAATAAAAGTGTACAAAAAACAAGAAATATCTTTTGGGTTGCTACAGAGCTCCCCTCCTAGAAGGCTGAACGAAGAAGCCTTCGAAATCAACTGGTTGTGGATCCAAAGTTTGCAAAAGGTTCTGGTATACAAAGAAGAGTCTGCTCGGGATCGAAAAAAAATGTAGCCGAAAATTTGTATCCGCTGTGCCGTCCGGTCTTTATTATTTATTGATTGCAGGGCAGGGTGCATTTCGGCGAGCCGTTGGAGCGGGCTTGTCGGACTACAAAAAAACTGGCTAGTCCAGAAAAAGGCCGACAGGACCTCAACCTCCGCTGCTGCCAAACGGTGCGCTTGGGAGTGGTCTCTCCCCCCGCCGCACCCCGCCCCGCGCCATAACGACCCTCGTCCCACGAAGAAAACGACCATGGTCCCACGGAGAAGCGACCCTCGTCCCGCGGAGAAGCGATCCTCGTCCCGCGGAGAAGCGACCCTCGTCTCGCGGAGAAGCGATCCTCGTCCCGCGGAGAAACGACCAGTGTCCGCGTCAGGGTCCTCGAAAACATTCCTCGTGTGGGCCAGTCGATCGAAGGGGAGGGTTGGGGCATGTAAAGACGAGAAAATAGAAAAACACGCGCAGAAAACGCCAAAAAGAACAAACGAATGAGCTGCGTGTTTAAATATTTTTTGGTTTTTGAATATTTTTTCGAAAAAGGTTTTTCGGGGGTTTTTGATATTTTTGTTTGTTTTCAAAACGTTAATCGACCAAAAACGAGGCAAATATATACAATATCTACAAAGTTAAAAGTATTTACACTGTACATAGTCGGAGAAGCGAACGGGCTTACGTACCTCCCGACCACGGCGATTGGTCGTGGGAGGCGGCGGACTAGGTTCGGGTGATGTCGGAACTGCTGAAGCTTGCAGACCGTGATCGTGGTCTGGTTGGACTTCACTAGAATGCGGAAAATTGGTACGGTGAGTTGTGACGTCGCACGAGGCACTACTAGACGAAGTAGGCGAGGGGTTTTCTTCCATAAAGGCGGGTTTTAGACGGTCGATGGTGACGACTTCGTGTCGACCACCGCGGTCAATAGTGTACGCCTTACTCGCACGATGCAGCACCTTGAAGGGTCCTATGTACGGCGACTGAAGAGGCTGTCGAACACCGTCTGCGCGAAGAAGGACGTGTGAACACGTAGACAGCTTCTCGGGCACGTACACTGGTGTCTTCTGCGATCGAGGAGCGGGTGGACGTAGCTCACGCATCTGGTGAGCCAATCGATCAGTGTAACTTCCGTAGTCAAAAGTGGAAGTACATGGGGCTGGTGCTACCAGCTGTCCGGGCAACCGCAGCGTGCAACCGTAGACTAGCTGCGCTGGTGTGGCGTCGAAATCGGTTTTAACCGTGTTTCTTAAGCCTAGAAGAACGAGGGGAAGCGTTTCAGACCATGAAGGATCTGCGTGCGCACGTAGCGCTGCCTTCAACTGGCGGTGAAAACGCTCCACCATGCCGTTAGCGGCCGGATGATACGCCGTCGTCTGGACGTGGCGACAGCCTAAATCCTTAAGCAACATGGCAAATGTCGACGAGAAATGTGACCCTCGATCGGTGGTCACGATGGCGGGACAGCCGTATTGTGCTACCCAGCGCTCCAGAAAAGCTTTCGCTACTGTTTCCGAGGAGCAATTTGGGATGGGGACGGCCTCAGGCCATCTAGTAAATCGATCGATGCAGGTCAGTAGATATACCGAGCCTTTGGAAGGCGGCAGAGGACCTACGAGGTCGACGTGCACGTGATGAAAACGTGCGTCTGGCGTCGGAAACGTGCCTAATGGGCTTCTCGTGTGCTTGTGTACCTTCGCGCGTTGACACGGAAGGCAAGCAGCTGCCCAAGTACGGACGTCCCGATTAACATTGCGCCAAACGAATCGTGCGGTTACGAGTTTAACCGATGCACGAACGCCTGGATGAGACAAGCCGTGCAACGCGTCGAACACGGTCTGCCGAAACTCACGTGGGACGACTGGGCGCGGCGTGCCCAGAGATAAATCGCAGAGTATCGTTCCGTCTGATGATGTCAGCGGAACGGGTCGTATGTCCAATGAGGGAGACCTGCGTAGTAGATCAACCTCAGGATCGTTGAGTTGTGCTGTGGCCATGGCTGCCAAGTCGATAGCAGTGCCGGCGTCAGCGGAGATAGCTTGAATGCGGGAAAGTGCATCGGCGACGGCGTTGTGCACACCTGAGACATGCCGTATATCGGTCGTAAACTGAGCGATATAGTCAAGGTGGCGCGACTCTCTAGGAGAGTATCGGTCGGTAGTCGAGCCGAGCACGTAAGTTAGGGGTTTGTGGTCGGTGAAGACGACAAAGGAGCGGCCTTCTAGGACGTGTCGAAAGTGACGTATCGCTAGATATACGGCAAGTAGTTCTCTACCGAACGTGCTGTAGCGAGATTCGGTAGGTTGTAGGCGTTTGGAGAAAAACGCTAAGGGCTGCCACGTGTCGGCTACGCGTTGCTGCAAAACAGCGCCGACCGCGACGTCCGAGGCGTCAGTACTAAGGGACAGTGGGGCGGTCGGATCGTGATGCGCTATGGAAGCTATGTTGGCGATAGCCTCTTTCAGCGACTTAAAAGCAGCGCGTGCTGCGGTAGGAAATTCGAACGTCTTTAGTTTCCCTCGGAGAAGGTCCGTGAGGGGTTGCATCAGAGAGGCGCAGTTGGGTATAAATCGACGGTAAAAGTTGACCAGGCCATCAAAACGCCTGAGCTGTTTGAAAGAATGAGGCTCGGGGTAGTCGATAATGGCTTGAATTTTATCTTGCAGTGGCACGACGCCTGCAGAAGAGATACGATGGCCCAGGAAATTAACTGAATCGACACCAAACGAACACTTTTCTGCGTTGATCGTCACCCCGTGTTGAGATAAACGATCAAAAAGTGTTCGTACGTGGCGTATGTGCTCTTCTCGTGAAGAGCTTGCGATTAAAATGTCGTCAAGATACGCGTAAGCGAAGTCTAAGCCGCGACAAACTTGGTCGATGAAACGCTGAAAAGTTTGCGCGGCGTTCTTTAGGCCAAATGGCATGCGCAGAAACTCGAACAAACCAAATGGAGTCGTCACGGCAGTTTTAGCGATGTCCGCCTCGGCTACCGGAATTTGGTTGTATGCGCGTACCAAGTCGATTTTGCTGAAGATACTTTTACCCGCCAGACTGGCGGTGAGATCCACTATGTGTGGTATCGGATAGCGATCAGGCGTGGTTACCGTATTCAAGGATCGATAGTCGCCGCAAGGACGCCAGTCCCCCATAACCTTCTTCGGGACCATGTGCAGAGGCGACGCCCATGGGCTGTTGGACGGTCTGACGATACCAAGTTGAAGCATGTGGTCAAATTCGGCTCGTGCTGCCCGTAGTTTGTCTGGAGCAAGCCGTCTTGGCCGTGCGCTAACTGGTTGACCGCGCGTAACTATGTGGTGAGCGACCTCTGTCGTGACTGGTGGAAGCTCTACAGCCGGTCGAACCAGTCGCGGGTGTTCGGAGAGGAGGCTCAAGTAGTCGGACGGTGCGTCTGCGATCCGAAATACAGGGCTGATTACCGGGGCATCTGAAAGGACGCCATCAACCCTTAGTTTCGTATGATCATCTAAAATTCTGTTGCGACCCGCGTCGACAAGCAATCCGAAATGGCGAAGAAAATCGATGCCGATAATTGCGAAAGGTACTGACGCAACCGTGAAAACCCAGTGAAAGTCTCTGCGGAGATTTAAATCTAGGTTCATCATGCGCTGACCGTATGAAGCTATCGGCGAGCCGTTGGCTGCCCGTAGATTGTACGTGGGCTTTGTATGCTTGTCATGCGCGCTGGCAGGGATAACGCTCACTTCGGCTCCTGTGTCGATAAGGAAAGTGAGGCGAGAGCGCCTATCCTTGACGTAAAACAGACGGCCTGTTTTGTCGCTGCCGGACGCGTGGGCCGCATTCACGTGCCGGCGAACTAGTTTCCCTGTGCCACTACACCACGCTTGGCGCAGGGTGAACGGCAACGTCGAGCGTTATCACCATACTGTCGATGATACCAACACAAATCATCGATTAAATTGGCACTTCGGGTTCGGCTGCGAGGGGGTGATGGACTGCGTCTGCGCGGTGACCTGGATCTGTACGGTGGGGGTCGGGGCTGATAGGCACCGTGACGAACGGCGGCAATTTCGTGGTCAGCGTGAGGTCTTAGTAAGCCTTGTCTTTCTAACTGCACGGTTGCTAATTCACGGCGAAGTGCGGCTATCTCTTCGTCTCTGGGGTCTGCTTGCGCGGGCGCTTTTGCATTCAAGTCTTTATCCGCTAATGTGACGAAAATGCTGCTGGATGCCTTCATGTTTTGAGGGATTCTCTCAAAGGCTGCGTCCGCGGTTATGGCCAACTCTTTGAGTGATCTATTTGGATTTGCTACGAGCATTAAAGGAAGAGGATCAGGTAAACGTGAGAGCCACAATTCTTTTAATGCCTCTTCACTCATGTACGAAGGGCCAGCAATCTGTTGAATATCGCGGAGCAAAACTGAAGGCTTGCGATCGCCTAGCTTAGTGCTATGAAAGAGTTGCTCCAATCGAGCACGAGCGCTGGGTTGCGACTCCTTTAGAATCAACTGCTTCATTGCTTCGTATTTACCGTCTTTAGGTGGGTGAAGCAGTACGTCTTCGACCAATGTCACCACCTGTTGCGGAAGGCGTGGGACGAGTTGGTTGTATTTAGCTTGGTCGGAAGAGATCCCTCTGTTTTCTAACTCTATCTCAAAAATGGCGAACCAGACGTTGGGCTTGTGTGCCATAAAATCCGGAACAGCCAAGGTGAGCAAATTCATGCTGCCGCCCGATCCGGGTTTTACATCAGCGTCAGACATAGTATATAAATAACACGAATGGATATAAAAACGAAATGGACGGAAAACAATCCACCAGGGATTATGAAAAAAAACAACTCGGAACGAACTCACCGAAAAACGAGACGATCAAAAAAGTTGAAGATTCGCGCGTGCGAATCGGGGTCACCAATTTATAGGACTAGTCTATACTAGTCCGAGAGTGTTCTCGCGCTGGTAGGGATGCCAGAAAACCAGAAAGACGGACACAACGGATTGTATTCGCGGAAGGCTACAATCGAACGAAAACGAATGAAGCGACGAGAGCGTACGTCAGTGCCGGAACTCACCGTGGAGAAAAGTGGTGAGCCGGATGCAGTTCATAATGGCCGTAGAGTCGGCATTAAAACAAAAAGCAATATTTTATGACTGAGTAATAAAAGTGTACAAAAAACAAGAAATATCTTTTGGGTTGCTACAACTTGTTAGTGCATTTTGACCCAAAGAAACCAAGCACTCTTCGTTGCGATGCTTCATCCACAGGGCTCGCGGCCATACTATCACACCAAATGGAAGACAAGACCGAGCGACCAATAGCTTTTGTGTTCAGAAGTTTGGCAACAGCTGAAAAAATCTGTGCGCAGCTCAACAGGGAGACTTAAGCGGTTATCTTTGGAATCAAGAAATTTTAACAGTAGCTGTGGAGAAGAAAATTCGAAATCTTTACTGAGCACATGCCTCTGTAACCCTGATTGGTGAGAAAAAAGGCATAAACCAAATGACATCACCTCGAATACAATGTTGGGCTTTATTGCTCTCCGCTTACAATTACAAGATCGCTTATGTCCCAGAGAAAGGAAATAAAATCGCAGACGCTCTGAGCCGTTCACCATTGAATCACCACCTACCAGCGGAGTTGTACATCTGCTGCAACATATGAGCGAAAATCCGGTGTCAAATGCAGATATGTCAGGAAACTAAACGGGATATATTACTGGACAAAGTCAAGCGTCTAGTCTCTGAAGAATGGCCTGACAGCTGTGAATCGCAACTAATGCCTTAGTTTATCCAACGCACAGAGCTTAGTCTCATGGATGGGTGTCTGCTATGGGGATCTAGAGCGATCATACAGTGTCTGACAAGAACTTCACGAAACGCACTCAGGAATCGCGAGAATGAAAACACTTGCGCGATCCTATGTGTGGTGGCGTAATATTGACAGAGATATGGAAGAGTTGATCTGACACTGCGACATATGTCAAAGCACTCAAAGGAATGCTCCTCTGGCAACACTTAGTCCTTGGAAATGGCCTTGTAAAACTTAGGAACATATACACGCAGAGTTCGTTGACCCATTGGATGGAAAAACGTTTCTCCTCTCGATTGATGCTTACCCGGAATGGGTAGAAGTAGTTCCACTTGCACGTCACCTCTGAGACGACCGTTTCGTGTATGCGGATGTGTTTCAGTACTTTCGGTATACCATACCCGCTGGTAACAGACAACGGTTCCATATTTACTAGTCAAGAGTTCCTCAAATAAACAGCATACACCATGTGAAATCAGCCCCTACGATCCAGCTTCAAACTGGTTGGCAGAACAAGCCATGTATACGGTCAAAAACGAATTGCGAAAACAAGCGTCTGCTCCACTGCGAACAGTTATATAATTTTTTGGTTACCGCACCAAAACAAAGGAAACGACGGGGAAGAGCCCAGGCGAGTTGATGTTCGGAAGGAGGTTCAGGACACGGCTGAATCTTGTTTTCTAACCAGAGGCTATGTGTGGAGGCTAAGCAAGATAAATTTAAGAAAATTGGACCAGAAGCCCTCCGATCGAAGATTCTGTGAGAATGAATCGGTCTAGGTTAAGTTGCCTAACGAAACGAGGTGACTTTACCTGATGCCAGGGTAGTTACTCGGCACAGGGATCAGGTCCGGCATCGTTCCGTTTCAATTCCGCCAAATGATGCGTTCTGAAATCAGCATACTGAGTTGACAAAGGTGCAGTACTCTGAAAACTCAGGCCAGCCGGAGGCTCAGCAACGTCGCCGTTCAACTTGGCCATGTCAACCCGTCGATCGATACCAAGCTAGCTGGAGTGGTCCAAACTAAAGGAAGAAGGAATGTGGCATCCTCACGGCCAATGTACTGAGCCCTTCCTATACGTTGCCTGCATCTGCTGGCGTGTGTCAGTAACCCGCTCACCCACTCATCGATTGGTCTAATTTAGAATACTAGATCGATGCGTTGTAATAAATGCTGGTTAGAACACAGTTCTGCCTTCGTTTGACGAACGTGTTTTGCTTCGGCTACGATCCAGCCACTGGGGGTTAGTTCAGCAATTGCTAAACTGTGACAAGGAGGTGAACCTGAAGAAGGGCGCACGACGGTTTTCAGTGAGGTCACAAAGACAGGGACAGAAAAGACCACGCGGAGTGAAAGAATGTACGGAGTCTTCAGGCACAGCAATGTTGCTGACAACGAAAATGGGAAGTATGTGATGGGTTGATGCAAATAGAATAACGGTACGGATTTACATGACAAAGCATGCGACTAGATCGCCGCAAGCGAACGAAGCAGATGACTGAACGCCTATACGCTGATTGGTTCGTAGTTGGCAGCGCTGGAGTGAGTTTGTTTGACTGATTCAAAGGAAGAATCACAACGCCACTAATTATAGAACTAACCTAGATATTTAAATCCAAGCTTCTACAACCTAATCATGCTGTTATTTTTGCTCAACTTGCTTGGTCGAATAAACCGTTTTTCCCTGAAGGACCGAGTTTTGCGACAGTCGCAAGGGGTGCGCTCAAGCAATAGTCCGAACAGTCGGTCTAAATGAGCTCATTGAGAGCTTGCATGCCCAAACTGTGTATTCATATTTCCAGTGAACAAAGTAGCTGAGATAGATGTAGTACAAGCTGTCGTCCCGAGTTTGAGCTAGCGAATCTTTCGTAGCAATACCAACACAGCTCACTGAAGCAAAAATAGTTATCGCTGGCAAGCAACATTTGGTGCCATCCCGCGCATTTGTCCTAAGTGAGCTTATCAAGTTGGCTACAGAAAAGTAGCTTCTAATAGAAATCCAGAAAACGAGCGACAATATAACCCAGGAACCGAAGATGGTGTTTACTCAAACATGGCAGTACACCGGTAATGCGAGTCGACCCTTCGGTGCTACGCAACCACTAGCGTCCGCATGTGTGTTGAGATACTGCGAGATAACCGCACCTGCGCAAATTCAAACTTGTGACCTGTAGATCACATGCCACAAGCTTGATACATTCGATCACCGCGAGGTGACACGTGGTGAGCAACTAATAGTAAGATGACAGGATAGAAACAGCTGGTTGAATAGAGGAGAGGCCTATGCATTCTAAGTCCGGAAACCCAACACATTTTACCGCCTAAGCTGCAGAGCGTGCTGCAAGTGCAACGGCGCTATAGGTAGCGAAGGTTAGCAAAAGCACCTGAAGCTTTTGCTATACGGTTTGTGACCTCGTCTTCAATCCCACAGATGCTGATACAACTGCCTAAGTAGTTGAATTTCTGGAAGAATTCCATCTGATCCCCACCAAGGGTCAGTGTATGAGGCGGCACCTGTCAAACTAGGAAAGCGTTACACTTTGAGGACTCCAAGCAAAACTCGAAAAGGTTGACAGCCAGTGCAGCTTGGTACGTTTATGAGCTGTCACAGATGAGGGCAAAGTCATCAGCATAATCGAAATCAAAAAGTCGTTTAGCTAGGAGCAGGTTCATAGCTTCAACATTGTGTACAGTTAAGGCAATTTCCATGACTTCGTCAATAGCGAAGTTGAACAGGAAAGGTGACAGCGAGCACCATTGTCTTATACGGCTGGAGATATTGAAAGACAGCGACAGATTTCTGTAAGCCCTCACTCTGCCCGAGCTAGGTACGTAAAGCGCTCGCATAATATATATACCTATGGCACGCGTTTTCTTAGTAGACAGTGACAAAGACCATATGGAACCTTTGATGTCGAAGAACACGACAACGATGTGACGTCAACAGTTGTGGCAGTGCTCCAGCAAATGACGCAAAGTGAAGATGTGGTCGATGCAGCCCCGCACTCGACGAAACCCGGCTTGCTTCTCACGAAGCTAGCCTTCCCAGGTGCAGTCAATCTGTGAAGGATGACAGGAGCAAGTAACTTACAGGCGATGGAGATCAGACTGATTCCTCTCCGGCTACCGCCTACAGAAGGTGAGCCTCCCTTGAAGATAGGGACAATAACAGAGCGGTCCCAATCAGTTGGGACAGTTTCCTGCTCCCAATTTCATTAATAACTCGTGCAAATCAGCAACAATGGCAGATCCCCGAGTTTGAGGTTGGCTGGAGGAAGATAATCTGGTCAAGCGACTTTATTCAACTGTCTGGTCTCACGTGCGACTTCTGAGCAAGGTGAACCAAAAGAGACAACTCGGGGATCAAGTTGATCACTCTCCAGCGAGAAATCTGACAATTACTGTCTATCGCTTTTCAAAGTGCTAGGCCCAAGGTTTCGAGCATTTTGACAAGTTGTGAATCGACTGTCAACTTTCATTACATATAGTTTCAGTAACAAAAGGTTTCCTGTTGCCGGCTTCCCCTATCAGACAGAATGACTTCTGACGGTTACCAACGGCAGCGGCCACTTCCATCTCTAACGCGCAATGAGACAACCACGCTTCGCGATCACTTCAGGCTAACGGCTTTGCGAGTCTCGCTGTTTTCGCTTCCAGTCGGAACACAACGAGTATCGATAAGTTCCAGATACTGCGAAGAAACCCAATATTCATGTTGGCAATTTGATTTGCCGCATGAGGATTTACTTGTTGCTAGTAAAGTCTGATGAACGTGCGACCAGTGAACTTCAACTGTATTCAGTGAACGCTTACTCATCCCGAATGCAAGCGTATTTCGATATGCATTCAGAGCATCTAGCTCCGCTAGTTGGCGGGTGTTTACGTGCTCACAGCATCCTCGCAGGCGTCCGCCAAAATGCACCCATAGATTAGAACATATAAGTGCATGGTCAGTGTCCAAATATGTGCTCCAAATCGAGCAACAGTTTTGGACACATACTTTCAGGCAGTAACTGATCGCGATGGGATTAATTTGCATCCATGACTGCTCCAAGCCCAATGTAGATAATGATGACGATGACGGTTGGTAGCATTTCACTCTGCGAAGATTGTTATGTCGGAAATTAGTGCTCGCAAGTAATAGGCGAGTATCTTCACACAAAAGAAGGAATCGATCACTGTAATCACTACGGGAGCCTACACCGTGTTATCTGCCCAGGTACAGCTCATCAGTGGACTATCTTCCAAGTTGAGCGTTCAGATCACCAGCCAGCACGAAGGAATTAGTATAACTGGCGATAGAAGTCATCTTTCAACGGGTCAGCGGTATAGCTT